AACTTTGGCAAAATTTTTCTATTAGAATGTGATACAGTTCAGAGCCCACAAGAAATATAACTTTATACAAATCACAAAGTCACCAAAACTGTAACACAACAGCTACTTACTACAAACAATAAAACATAGTATCCAGAATCTCTGTCATCACCTTTCACCTAATCTCTTCTTTAAATACATAAAATACTTATTTTTAACTTAAACTTACATTCCTGTAAAGTACAATTGCCCACATTACGGTAACCTAGTATATTAGTTTGGAACCAGAGTACTCATGATTCACAACAAGGAAATGATCTTCCTGTAACCAAATGAGTGTGCATGTTATCTTCTGTGTCTTCTTGGTTATTCATCAGTTTCTTCTCTCCATTCTAACTTGTCTCACTTTAACTAGCAAAACATAGTAATACAACACCATCCCGATTGTTCAGAAAATAAGAACAGAGCAACCTAAACACTAAACTCTACAAAGCCAAAACATATACTTTTTTTTTTAAAGCCTAAACCTCATGTACTTTACTTCATAGAAGACTCAGAACTTGCTTAATCCACTTTACATGCAAGCATTGTCAAGTGATTTAGCTTCCCCATAAAAAATACATTGGGAATTAGATCATATCCTCAAAGTTTGCAAGAAAGCCAGGGAATCTAACCAAAAAGTTGGAAGTACTATTTAAAGTAGATACAATAATAAAAAGCAAAGTCATATAGAATAAATTTAAAATGCCCACTTCAATTGTTTCTGGAATAATTAAAAAATAGACACTACAACAGAGCCCAGAACAATTAACAGTTGTTCTTATACTAAACCTCAGTCATTTAAGAAAATATTTTAAATTCAGCCCATTCTAAGGACACAGTAAATATATAATACATCTTAGGAACCAACTTCCATCAAAAATTGCCAAAATTTTAGGTCTGGTCCTAAAGACTTGTTATATGGGAATCTTCTCATATCTGAATCTGTCATCTCCCAACAATGTCAGAAAAATGTAGTTTATTATTGAGTTTGTTGTTCTATTTCATTTTATTAATTTCAAAAGCACAGTTTATGTTTATAGCCAATTCTTAAGATAAAAAGACTAAATTAGTTATTATTTACATGATCCTCAACTAATTTTTTCCTGTGAGTTTCATCTCAACAGAAAAATAAATGATTTCTTCTTTGCTCAGTGAGAGAAACAGATCTGGAAAAATTATAGTCATCATACTTTAAGCCCTTCAAATTGTTATTATGAAAACATGGATTTTTTAAATATCTAATAACAATGCTAAATAAAACATACTGTATATGCCACAGGTTTTACTAACAAATTCTTAAGACTTGAAAAAATAAGGAATTACAAAAAATATATTAAAAATTGGCTAAGTCTTCACAGTCCGAAAAATATTTTGGCAAGCCAAGGTAGAGATGCGAATAACATACTTACAGGACCCCCGCAGATCACAAAAATGAGTGAGGCAGGCCAAGGGTATTGCCACCAGCAAGAATGACAGCAAGTGTACTGACCAGTAAGCACATGCCCAATCTAAAAAGGGCAGTAACCACTCTACCACTCGGCTCTAGACAATGGGAACGCAGCCTAGTAGTGTCTGGATATCCAAGTCTTCCCCCAAAAACCAGAAATCCATTCATTTCACTGAGAAATTCCCTAATTTTCCAATGTTGATCACTAGTTGAAATTAAAGACATTGCAAATCAAACAAAACACATTTCTAAGGTGGTTCAGCCCAGAGGCCAACTTTGAGCTAATGTGTGAAAACTGCTTTCAAAAAAGTATAAGGGGACAATGAGTAAAAAGAAGCTCAGGCTTTGAGGTCAAACTGGCTTGGGTTTGAATGGCTAATTCACCAGTCAGCAGGTAGATGGTAGAAAAATTATTTCTTCAAGCCTATTTTTTCAATTCTGAAGTATCTCCATTCTCTCATAAATGGCTGTAAAGTGAAACTCTTCTAACACAATACCAAAAAGACATAGCAATGTCCCTTACTCTCCCTATCGAACCCTGCAAGTTGACATCAGATAACCAATATCCCTGAAGATCTTAAAACAAGTTATATTATAAAAAAGGCATCATCAGAAAACAGAAAGTTACCTGCCAGACCCAGAGATATCCTGTACCTATACAGAGTATATACTGTTAATGTAGGGGATGGCTTGAAATGGACTTTCTTAAAATGGCAGCTAACTGGATTATCAGTCTTAAATAAAAAAGATGAAGAGTCAGAATTCCTTAAAGATAAAGACAAAAAGTCTGTCTCATTAATTTCATAGACCTTTATTTGCTGGAAGAAGAGAGAGAAACAGTTTAAGCTTAGACTTTTGATACATTTAATACTTTTGGCCAAACTTCCACAAAACTTATCTCTACAGAATGCATGGTACAAAGCAAAGCATTTACACCAGGTTTTTAAATATTAAAAATATGTCATATCTTAAAGTTCACTTTATGCATGAGTTTATCAAACCAAAACATTATGGGAATGAATTTACTGATACAGCTAAAATACCTTTTGACCTCTCCAAAACATGAATTTCCTAAAAAGAACGAAGGAAAGACATCAACTCTTCAAAATACACATGTTAAAAAGTAACATTCATACATACATAAAAATTCTTTGGGCCATATATAATCTGAAAAGATCCAATAAATTCCTAACATGGTTACAAATAAAAGAAAAACATTTTTATGTATATATTTGTACCTATCTATATAGATAGTTGAAATCCAGAACTCTTGGTATCTTCATACAAATACAACATAGGAGGGGATTTATGCTAAATAGGAAAGTTTCAGTTTTATGAGTCTAAACACTTTAATTCTCTCTTCCAGCCTGCCACCCACTGTATTAAAAGAAAAAAAAAAGCAAAACAGCAATTGACAAATTGGAAAGGGTAGAACCATTAAAAGGGTTTCCTTACTAAAAATGATTTATACTTTCAAGTTAAATCCATATTTCCACTACAATTTCTCCTAATCTATGTAACATACTCGTTTGTCTCACATGCTAAAACAAACACACTCAAGTTGAATATACTCTATTCTACACATCATCATATAAACTTCTTACAAACTTGACCATAACAGCTCCAGTTAGGAGATGAAAACAGTGTATCTTACAATAAAATTACAAATATCTCCGCGTACCCAAAAGCTACAATCTGGATGCTATTTCTAAAATGAAAGACTTCTTAGTGTCTTTTTAAGTAAGTTCTGCTTAAAATAAACATCAAAGTATCCTTTTAATCAATGTTTAATGCAAAATGACACATATAAATGACTGGAGTTCCGAATTTAGAAAATTTTTGTATAGCAAGATTCTTAACAAAGACAATCCTATTAATTTACTTTTTCTTCAGCCATCAGACTACACACCAGTTTCTATTCTTACTTTCATTCTTACAAAGGACATTTTATATACTACTACTACTCAGTAGGTTAAGAGTGCCTCATGTGTTTTTCTTACTTTTTACTACTTCTTAGAAAATTAGCGTCTATCTCTTGACTATATTCAGAAAAAGTGCAGACAGAAAAGTGGTTTGCTGGAAGTCACATTTAGAACGTAAATGCAAATGTTAAATGAAAATGCCCTCCGTATAAAAGGCTTCTAGCACATGATACTTCTTTAAACTAAACAACTACTAGAAGCTCTTACTCTAAAATGTGTACCGAACAAACGAACACTGCAAACTACAACTGAAGTCTACCTACAGAGTATCATCCTCGGACAATACAGGACAAAATTATGTTTGGCCCTGTCACTTTCTTCAAAGCGACAAAGAAAAGAAGAAAACACTACACTACATGAAATACATAGACATTTTCTAAATTATCAATTTACACTTACTCATCCGAAGCATTCCGGAAAATTTTTCAATCCAATGGCTTTTAAACTATAAAGACATTTATATCCAATGGCTTCGAGGTTTTTAACTATACTCTGAGGCAAGTCAGAAAGTTTACCTAAAATTAAGCAGTTTACACAACAACAAAATGATGCAGCTGGTCCTTGGATACACTGGAAATAAAAACCGTCTTCAAAACCTAAATAATCAAGAAATGTTATGCTTTTAGCAAACTTAACTCCAACGTAGGGTCGGGGTGGGGGTTGACAGTTTTGATAACCCACTATCTACACTGTGCATCTACTCCGCCTGAGAGTTTAAGAAACTCTTCAAGTTGGGTCACCCAGGGACCGTCCCTCTAAGAGACTCAGTCCAGCCAACAGATCAAAGAACACCCCCAAAACGGCCTACCTTTCTCCCCATCAAACCCTTTCCCCTGGGCGACGGAATGTTTCGTTTAACATAAACACACGCGCATAAGTCAAAGCACGACGGAGAGCGGAAGCCACTGGTCTCAGACAAGCAGGAGACCACTGTCAGCCTTCCGTCGGCGGCCCCTCTGCAGAATCGGGTCGGTCCGGACTGCCGCGCAGGGAAAACAACAATACACCAGCCCCGCAGCACACCTCGCAACTTCCCACGAGCCTGCGCGGCTGTTCTACCCGGCGAAACGGGACTCCGGGATCCGCCACCGGGCAGGGGCTTGGGGCGCAAAGGTGAGGAGGGTGAGGTGACCAAGACCGCAGACCCCGCGGCAGCTGCCCGAGCCGGAGCCGAAGAGCAGGCGGGAGGAATTACAGCCAACGGCCTGGGCTCCACGCCTCTAGCCTGGCGACCCGAACCTCCCGACTTCGCTTCTCTGGGAAGCGACCCCCGCCTCCCCTGCTACCCCGGCGGCGGGGGCGGGGGGAGCGGGGAAGGCCTCGCCGGAGGCTCAGAGCCTTCCCGGCCCGCGACGGAAGGGAACGCGGTCGGGGCGCAAGGGACAATAGGGAGCGGGAAGCGCTGCGAGACCGAGTGGCGCCGCCGGCCGGCCGGGCTGACTGACGCGCCCGCCGCGCCTCGTAACTGAGCTCCGCTCCACCCGGCCGCCGCTGCCGCCGCGCGGTCCGCGGTGGTCACGGCGTCCCCGGCGCTCGGGGTCGAGCCTCACCTCCCAGTCCCGCCGCCCAGGAGAAGAGCAGAATTAACACTCTCAGCAACACCATCTTCTGCGGCCGCCGCCTCCTCACGGGTTAATAGCAGCACATCGATCCGGAGGGAGAAGCTGAAGGGGCTTGGTCCGGAGCCTCCACGGGAAGCCGGGACCTCCCCCGGCAGGAGAAACGGCGAAGCACCTCCCTCTCGCTCCACTTCGGGGGCCGGCAACGCTCCCAGCTCCTCCAAAACCTCCCTCCCCCTCGTTCGTTTCCTTCCTCCCTTCCCGGCTTTCCTTTCCTCGCTCCTTCCCTCTTTGCTACCTCCCTCCCCTAAGCCCGAGATCTCCGCCTCCTTCCTCACCACGTGACACAAGACACCCAACCGGCATGCAGAGCCGTTCCCCTTCCTCCCACCCCTCCCTCTCCCGCAGGCGCCCCCGGGGCGCGCGCATGCGCATGGGAGCCGGTTCCTGAGTTGAGAGGCCCGCCGCCGCTTCCTGTCCGCGGGCGGAGAGCTGGGATTGGGCTTGGGAGGCGGGGCTTCCATTGGTCCCGCCCCCAGTCAGGAGCGCTACTCTGCAAACTGTGCTGGGCTTGTTTGTACACTGCCAAGTACCCTTCCCTGGGCTAGAAAGGGAAGGTGAAGGACGTTAAGGGGCCGCTTTCCACTTCTTAACTTTGACAAGGAACAGAGACTTTTGTTTCTTTTTGTGCTTTTCGTGGTGCACAACAGCTACCAAGTAAACAAAAGCAAAGTCCCAACATGCGACAGACTCCAGTGACAAAAACATAGATGTAAAGTGGGTGCGAAGGGAGAAAGGGATTAAGGGGCACTGTAATTCAAAATCACAATATAGGTAGGTCACAGAGAAAGCAGTACAGCACGGAAAAGACAAGTAATGACTCTATAGTATCTTACTACCCTGATAGTGATGGCAATGGTGTGAGGGAGAGACGATAATATGGATGAATGTTAAAACCACAATGTTCTTCATGTGAAACATTCGTAAGATTGTATATCAGTGATAATTTTTTTAAATGCCCTAGGTTGCAAAAGAAACCAGACATAGTGACATGTGGGTGTGAAAATATTTGATTGAATTTTGATATAAAAAATACACGTTTCTTCATGATTGCATTAAGGAATCCTGATTCACAAGGACTATAGTAATTACTGTGAGTTTCAAAGTTGAAATGAATGTAAATGTATTTCAAGGTGTCTGCCATGACTAGGATATGATATGAAATTCATTTCCACGAGTGACAAAATCACAGAGCTGACCAATACCTGCTTTAGCATGAGAAACATGCTAAATTCCAGTTAAAGTAATAAAAATAAACATTTTTTTCCTTCATCCTTCTGAATTGTCTGACAGCCCACCTTAAGATCCCCATGTTTGCAAGGTTAAAAATTAACAGCATAGGGAATATAGTTGTGTAATAACTTTGTATGGTGACAGATAACTACACATCATGGTGAGCATTTCATAATGTATATAAATGTCAACTCACTACGTTGTGTACCTGAAACTAATATAATATTGTATGTCAACTGTACTTCAATTAAAAAATTAAAGAGAAGAAAAACAGATGTAAAGACCTTCAAGCAGCAGAAAGGAAAAACACAACTTAAAGCATATTTTTATGATCTCTTTACGTTTGGGTCACACACCAGGCCCTAGCCATTCTAAAAGCATGCAGCATAAATCACATGGTCCTAAATCTCCAGCCCCAAAATGTCCTCTTAATCACTCTTTCTATTCCAGCTCTAGATCTACTTCACCCCAGTTCTTTGACACTCATGTCTGGTTTCCCAGTAACTTACTTTGTTCTTTCAACTCGTATTCCCTGGATTAAAGGCTTAAACATAAGACTTGAAACTGTAAAACTCTTAAAAGAAAGTGGAAAAAGCTCCTTGACATTGGTGTTAGCAATGATTTTTTTTAATATGACACCAAAAGCACAAGCAACAAAAGCAAAAATAAATTAATAGGACCACATCAAACTAAAATGCTTCTGCACAGCAAAAAAAAAAAAAAAAAATCAACAAAATGAAAAGGCTACCCTTCCAAAGAGAGAAGATATTTGCACATCTGATAAGAGATATTCAAAATACATATATTATAATATCCAAAATATATAAGGAACTCTTACAACTTAATAGCCAAAAAATCAATAGCTTTTAAACAATCCAATATAAAAATGGGCAGAAGGACTGAATAGACATTTTATCTAAAGAAGACATCCAAACTGCCAACACATACATGACAAGATGCTGAACATTAATCATCAGAGAAATGCAAATCAAAACCACAGTAAGATATCACTTTAGAATGGATATCATCAAAAACAAGAGATAGTGTTGGCAAGGAAGTGGAGAAAAAGACCTTTATACACTGTTGGTGGGAATGTAAATTGATTTAGCCACTACAGAAAACAGTATGGAGGTCCCTCAAAAAATTAAAAATGGAACTTCCATATATGATCAACAAACTCTACTTCTCGATATATAGCTAAAAGAAATGAAATCAGGATCTTGAAGAGATATCTGTACTCCCATGTGCATTGTGGCATTATTCATGACAGCACACTTAAAAACAACTTAAGTGGCCCTCTACAAATGAATGGATAAAGATGTGGTGCACAAACACACACACACACACACACACTCGAATATTATTCAGCCATGAGTAAGAAGGAAATCCTACCATTTGCAACATCGTGAATGGATCCTGAGGGCATCATGCTAAGTGAAGTAAGTCATACATAGAAAGACAAATACAGTGTGATATCACTTATATGTGGAATCTAAAAGAACCAGGCTCATAGAAAGGGAGTAGAATGGTGGTTACCAGAGGCTGCGTGTATGCTGGAAATTGAATGATATTGGTCAAAGTTATAAGATAAATAAGTTCTGGTAATCTAATATACAGCATGGGACTATAGATAACAATACTGTATTATATACTTGAAAGTTGCTAAGAGAATAATCTTAAATCTCACAACAAAAAAAAGGTAATTATGTGAGGTAATGGAAATGTTAATTAACCCTACTGTGGTAATCATTTTGTAATATATGCCTATCAAATCAACACATTGTACATGTTAAACTTATACAAGGTTTTATATCCATTATGTCCAATAAAGCTGGAACAAATAAAAATTAAATAAAAGTACACAATTCAGTGGCATTTAGTGATTTCACAATGCTGGGCATCCATCACCATTATCTAGTTCCAAATTATATTCATATGGCAAATAAGAAAATTAATTCATATTTCATGAACTAGAACTTTTTGATGGTGTGGGTTAAATGGCATAATTTCCAGAATCTCCCACCCGGCCTTAGTCCATTAATGTATCAATAGATGTTTACCACTGCAGAGCCATGCATCAATCTGCAGCAAGGGGTGGAGAGAAAACGGCCATTCTCTCCTTCCCTCCATTCCTGGTATGAAATTGGTCTGGCATTTGCCAGTCACCAAGGACCCACACATGGAGTTCCTGCTAGAAGGGTGGATGGGGGAAGGAGAGCATGAGCCACGGTTGTAGGAGATAGAGAGTGCTGAGCCTGGCTGGTGACTGTGAGGAATAAAATCCTTTCTCCTAACCTGTCCTTTCCCTTGACTTATTTCATTTTCATCAGTTTCATAGGGGAGTCACCCGGGGCTGGGAACACCCTTCCCCTGGGAGCTACAGATGGCATTTTTTAATTAGATATTCTTCAGCTATTTGGCATCCTGCTTGATGAGAGTAATGACTCTATAGTATCTTACTACCCTGATAGTGATGGCAATGGTGTGAGGGAGAGACGATAATATGGATGAATGTTAAAACCACAATGTTCTTCATGTGAAACATTCGTAAGATTGTATATCAGTGATAATTTTTTTAAATGCGCTAGGTTGCAAAAGAAACCAGACATAGTGACATGTGGGTGTGAAAATATTTGATTGAATTTTGATATAAAAAATACACGTTTCTTCATGATTGCATTAAGGAATCCTGATTCACAAGGACTATAGTAATTACTGTGAGTTTCAAAGTTGAAATGAATGTAAATGTATTTCAAGGTGTCTGCCATGACTAGGATATGATATGAAATTCATTTCCACGAGTGACAAAATCACAGAGCTGACCAATACCTGCTTTGACAAGCCATGAGAAACATGCTAAATTCAAGTTAAAGTAATAAAAATAAACATTTTTTTCCTTCATCCTTCTGAATTGTCTGACAGCCCACCTTAAGATCCCCATGTTTGCAAGGTTAAAAATTAACAGCATAGGGAATATAGTTGTGTAATAACTTTGTATGGTGACAGATAACTACACATCATGGTGAGCATTTCATAATGTATATAAATGTCAACTCACTACGTTGTGTACCTGAAACTAATATAATATTGTATGTCAACTGTACTTCAATTAAAAAATTAAAGAGAAGAAAAACAGATGTAAAGACCTTCAAGCAGCAGAAAGGAAAAACACAACTTAAAGCATATTTTTATGATCTCTTTACGTTTGGGTCACACACCAGGCCCTAGCCATTCTAAAAGCATGCAGCATAAATCACATGGTCCTAAATCTCCAGCCCCAAAATGTCCTCTTAATCACTCTTTCTATTCCAGCTCTAGATCTACTTCACCCCAGTTCTTTGACACTCATGTCTGGTTTCCCAGTAACTTACTTTGTTCTTTCAACTCGTATTCCCTGGATTAAAGGCTTAAACATAAGACTTGAAACTGTAAAACTCTTAAAAGAAAGTGGAAAAAGCTCCTTGACATTGGTGTTAGCAATGATTTTTTTTAATATGACACCAAAAGCACAAGCAACAAAAGCAAAAATAAATTAATAGGACCACATCAAACTAAAATGCTTCTGCACAGCAAAAAAAAAAAAAAAAAATCAACAAAATGAAAAGGCTACCCTTCCAAAGAGAGAAGATATTTGCACATCTGATAAGAGATATTCAAAATATATATATTATAATATCCAAAATATATAAGGAACTCTTACAACTTAATAGCCAAAAAATCAATAGCTTTTAAACAATCCAATATAAAAATGGGCAGGACTGAATAGACATTTTATCTAAAGAAGACATCCAAACTGCCAACACATACATGACAAGATGCTGAACATTAATCATCAGAGAAATGCAAATCAAAACCACAGTAAGATATCACTTTAGAATGGATATCATCAAAAACAAGAGATAGTGTTGGCAAGGAAGTGGAGAAAAAGACCTTTATACACTGTTGGTGGGAATGTAAATTGATTTAGCCACTACAGAAAACAGTATGGAGGTCCCTCAAAAAATTAAAAATGGAACTT